CCTCCTTTTTTTTTTTTTTTTTTTTTTTTTTTTTTTTTTTTTTTTTTTTTTTTGTCTTTTGTCTTTTTCTGTGTCCGGCAACGGGATCACAACCCCCGGTGTCGCTCCCGCGCCTCGCTCAGCCAGTGAGCGGGAACCGGTCTGCATGTGGGATCCGAACCCTCGGGCGGGAGCGCCGCCACGCTTCCCAAGCAGCGCACTATCCAGTGCGCCACCGGGCCGGCCCCCTATATCATTTTTAACTTCATAATATCTACTTCATTTTTGCCATTGTTCTTTCTTTTTTCAAAACCCATTTCTCACTTGTATTTAAAGCAAAATAGATTAGGAGGAAAAATCCCATGAGAAGTTTGTTCTCCTCTCTTGCTTATTGTGGTTTTTTTGACCCTGATAGGTGAACAAATGAGATAAGGTTAAAAAATGTTCATTGAGAATTTCCATTCTTCTTCTTCGTGGTTTTAACTTAAATGGCATTCTCAATATATAGCACAGGGGCCAAATTACAGATTCTTTCCCTGCCATGCTTCTATCAGGTCTCACCAGAAATAGGAATTGACAGTTACTAAAGTCTGTCATGACAGACAATTTTGAAATTTTGTGTTTTTTTTAATTGTGAAAAAGCTCATGGCCATTCTGACTTTTGTGTTAATCCTCCTAATGTTGCATAGTTCATGAGTAAGCCCAAAGTTAATCATCCTGGTTTTTTATTTCCTGTTCTTGGTGTGGTTAATAGGTTCCCCCCCCCCCCTCATTCCACTAGTTTTGAGTATGTTTCTAGTTTTAATTGACTATCAACTTTTGGGAAAAGCCTTTTCTTTGAATTAGTGAGGTATATTGAAAACAGACATTGATCTGGGAGTCAGGAGTTTTTAACTTACTTGTGAACTAGCAGAATGACTTTAGGCAAGTACCTTACCTCTCTTGGTGTCAATTTATGAAATAAAGGAGTTGTTTTAAGGTCTATTTCCTGATCTAAAATTCTAAGATATTATTATAACTTTAACTTCAAGACTAATATCTTAGGCTTTTTTTGTGTCATTTAGTCCTAAAAACGTGACTTCATGTGGTCTCTTATTAGGTCTATGAAGATTGGGATTGTTTCAAAGTAAATGATGTTCTTGAGTTATATGGCATACTATCTGTGGATCCTGTGCTAAGTATACTAAATACTGATGAAAGGTGAGTCTGTTTGCTCTTTTTATTTTGATATAATATTAAACTTTCAGAAAAGTTGCAATATAGTTACAGAGAACTCCCTTTTCTCCTTTACCCAGATTTACCAGTTGTCAACACTTATGCCCCATGTGCTTTGTCATTTGTGTTCTCTATTTATGCACACATTTTCCTGAAATACTTGAGAGTACGTGGCAGACATCAAACCCTTTTACCCCTAAGTACTTGAGTCATTATTTTCTAAGAACAAGGACTTTCTCATATATAATCAGAGTACAGGTAAAACTAGGGAATTCACCACAAATACATGATATACTCATTCACAGTCTGTACTAATGGTCTGTACTAATCTCACTAATGGTCTCAATCATGTTCTTCCTTCCTTGCACTTGCCCGGACCCCCACCCCCAGTCCAGGAGCCATAGCTTCACTCATCGCATTAATGTGGAATAGTCCTCTGCCTTCTTTTGTTTTTCATGGCCTGGACATTTTTTTTTTTTTTTTTTTTTTTTGGCTTAAACAACAGAAATTTACATTTCATGGTTCTGGAGGTTGCAAAGTCCAAGATCAAAGCACTGGCAGATCTGGTGTCTAGTGAGGGCCACTTCCTGGCTTATGGCCGTCCTCTCATGGCAGAGAGCAGACTGCCTTAACACTTTTGACGAGTACAAGCCAGTTATTTTGTAGAATGTCTTTCAGGTTGTGTGTATCTGGTTTTCCTCATGATTAGATTCAAGATAGGAATTTTGTGCAGGAGTACCACGCAAGTGGTAGATGTGTCCTTCTCAGGGCATTACAGCAGGAGACACAGGATATCAGTTTGTCCCATTACTGGTACTGTTAGTTTTGATCACCTAGTTAAGGTGGTGTCTACCAGGGGTGTCTCCTATAAAGTTATTGTTTTTCACTTTGTAATTAAGTAATTTGGAGGAAGATACTTAGAGACTATGTAAATATCCAGTTTCTCATTAAACATTTACTAACTGACTTTAGCATCCATTGATGATTCTTCCTCGAATCAATTATTACTATGATGCTGAGTCTCTAAGTTGTTACTTCTACATTTATTTATTTATTTATTTTTTATTATGCATATTCATGGAGTACAAAGCTGACTTTCACCACTTGTGCCAGAGGTGATGGCCAGATCAATACTATCAACATGCCCATTACCACAAATTGTGATTATTCCACATGTCTCCCACCCAATTAATACCCGACCTTTCTCCCGTTTTACATTTGTTTATTGGCATTCTACCAAGAAATAAATAGAGGTTTTTCTTCTCCCATTTATTTAAGTAATTTATTTATTTGTATTACTATGGACTGATAGATTCTTACTTCATTCAAAGTTAGTACCATTTATTTATTTTTTTGTTTGTTTGTTTTGTCTTTTTTCGTGACCGGCAACGGGATCGCAACCCTCGGTGTTGCGCCCACACCGCGCTCAGCCAGTGAGTGGACCGGTCTCTATATGGGATCTGAACCCTCGGCGGGAGTGCCGTCGCGCTCCCAAGCGCTACACTCAACCGAGTGCACCACCAGGCTGGCCCGTGTACCGTTTATTTTGAGTCAAATTTTTCCAGTTTTGGCTAGTGGGAGCCACTTTAGGCAGGCTCTGGGTCCTTTTCCTGAGGTGACCTCATCATTTTTTAAAATTTACAAGTATTTTCTGGCATATTAAGCTGTTTAGACCTCATCTTGTTATTTTCCATGCTCCAGCCCAAATATCAGCTATTTTTTCAAACAGCACCAGTTTCTTTTAGAGAGGAATTATATTTAAAAATCAAGATCTGAGTGCTAGGCGTGCTCATTGGCATTGGGTTAGCTTTGCTTCTAAGCCCTTTTAGCAAACAGAGCTAGAATACATACACACATTTATGTATGTATATATGTATACACATTTACATACACACACATATACATTCACATATACATGTGTCTTCATATATTTCTAAGTCTTTTAAAAACCATGAGTTCATACTATATTTCTAATTCCAGTTTAGCACCATGGTGTTACTCTACTTGTCCTCCTTTCCGTATTTGTAGCTCCCTTTTCTAACAGAAAGAAACTTGACTCCTATTATCCTCAGTATATCATTTGCTCAATTCTGCCATACACAGAAGGGAATTTCAGAATGGTAACCCACACCACTACAAAACGCAAACCTAGAAACTAGAGTTTCCAGATCGTTTTTATTTTAGAATGAGGCTACATAGTCAGAGCACTGTGTTCCAGAGTTACTCAGGTAACTTTTCTCCCCCTTCAGTGTGATTTCATTATTCATTTCACATAAGTTCATTTGTGTCTGCTTGAGTTTCACTTCAGAGTTTCTTCTCTATCCCTATTGTTTTGATTTTTTTAAAAATATAGGAAACATTTAACATTGTTGCAAATCAAAACTATATGGAAAGATACTCAGAAGTGCTTTCCCTGCTCTCCTGTTCCCACCCAGCTTCCCTAGGGAACCAATCTCAGTTTCTGCTTATCTTTCCTGTATTTCTTTTTTGCAAGAATGACTAAATATGTGTATAGTTTATTCCTCCTTCTTTCTTCTATAAAAGGTGACATAATATATGTACTCTTTTTGACTTTTTTTTCACTTAACAATACTATACGTCTTGGAAATCCAGATTTTCCTCTTTCTTTTTTGTTTTGTTTTGTTTTGAAATTGCCAAAAGAAAGGATAGATATTCTCCCCTCTACCATAGAGTCCTTTTTTGAATATTGGATATTCATCTTGGTTTCTGCATAGGAAGAACTTACATTTTCTACACTAAAAAAAAAAAAAAGTAAAAAAAATTTTAAACAACTTTAAATAAACTTAAACAACAGTCCCTTAATAGTACATGAAATTCCTCATCTTGGCTATTCCTGGTTATGATTACTTTCCTACTTTAGTTATTTCATTACTGAGGCAGTTTAGTTTAGAAGGTAAAGAGCACAGATTGAAACAGGCTGCCTGGGTTGGAATCCTGATTTGGCCCTTACTAGCTATGTCACCTTTGGTTTGGTTTTTTCACTGTAAATAAGGGCAGTTCTGAGGTTTTAATGAATTTGTGTGTGCAAAGCATTGAACATTGTCCATTTCGTGGTACATACTATATATAAAAGGTTGTCATTATTCTCATATTAAGAGATAGTAGTATGAATTTATTTCTCCAGAGTCTGTAGAATCTATAAAGTCTGAAGACCTAAAAAATCTTAGTCATTTGTTTTAGTCATCGCACAATAAATCTTTCATCTAATTTAGCAAATCTGAGAAATTCACACTTTGTTTTCATTGCTTACCTCCTCACTATTAAATGGAGGTATCGTGTAAGAATAAAACCCAAGAAAATTAGCAAGATAGAGATGCATGGATTCTTCACATACTGAAAAATAGATACCAGGTGACTTGAGAAAAAGCTCCCAGTTTTTGAGATGTGCTATGAAGTACTTGATGTCTCAGCTGATAGAATATCTGCGTTTTGAAATAACCTGATGAGTGGCATTCTATATCCCATTTGTTGCAGTGGTAGCATACTGAGTAAAATAAATTGTTCTTGAATAATGGAATAAATACGTTATATCATAATAACATTTTAGAATGAGGAGCCAGTTTCTGTTCTTTAAGGAGATGTATTGGTGAAAATGTTCTTGGCTGGAATTCTAATTTTGTCTTCAGAGATGCATATTATTTTTACATCTGTACAGTTGATGTCTCTCTAAATTGAAGCTTTATCATCTCTCCACAGGGATGCCTCTGCCCTTCTGGATCCAATGGAATGCACAGACACAGCAGAAGAGCAGAAAGTGCACAGCCCTCCTGCTTCCCTCGTGCCGAGGATCCATGTGATTTTAGCCCAGAAGTTGCAGCACATCAATCCATTATTGCCTGCTTGCCTTAACAAAGAGGAGAGCAAAACCTGTAAGTGTAAGTGTTAAAACCTAGCGGACCACAGACTTACCTCAGTGTTTGTCTGGAGCTGCCTGGAACATGTGGTCATAGAAGAATTAAGAGTCAGGTCTTCATTCACCAGAATAAGTTTTTCCAGTAATCTCTGTTTCTTTGGCCCCTTTCCCTTTTAATGTTAATTCTCTTCATTGAAATGAGGCAAAAAAAAAAAAAAAGTACACAAGCTGTCAAGATTGGCATGACTTACTGACTAATATTTTAAGTATCTCCTAGTCATCAACTGAATTGAAGTGCCTTGTTCACGTAGTTGTCTTTTACTCTAAGACGCTCGAGAGGAACTGATGTGTGTATTCTGAATCTGGTCTTCCTTCCTCCTCCAGTCGTTTCAAGTTTCATGTCCGAATTGTCTCCAGTTAGAGCAGAACTGCTTGGATTCCTCACTCATGCCCTTTTGGGAGACAGTTTGGCTGCTGAATACCTTATATTACATCTCATCTCTACAGTGTAAGTGCTATGTCCCTGGGGGAATGAAGAGAGTCTGGTGTGTCAAAACTGGAAAAGATCAGGAAAACGTCTGATGTCATTTCTGAGTTTTAATTCATTAGGCTTCATCATCAAATGGTTTTTATTTGTTCAGTGTAGCAAGTATTACACTAAGTCATAAACAGATTCAGTTTTTCACCTTTTCTCACAGTTACACATATAGTATTTTGATTGTCCCCTTAAATTTTAGAGCCATAATCAGATAAAGAACCTGGCTAATGAGTAAAATGAGCTATTTTATCCTTTTTGCATTCCGAACTCTCTGTTTATACATTCCCAAGGCTCTGCTTCTAACAACGAGGTACATCATGTGTACATTTAACTTGTACATCGACATTAGCACCCCCTTTGACTTCACCTTATTTTTCTGTTTTCTGATTTCAAAAGTAATGTGCTCCTTCAACAAGTTCCAAGAATGTAAAGAAGAAAATAGAAATCATCTGTAATCTTACCACTTAGAGATAATGTCAGTTAATATTTTGTACATGTTTATCTTTTTCTGTTTGCATATTTGTACGTACCTGCATAGATCTCAGTTCTACTCTAAGCACAGATCCATATCTTGCTTGTAGCATTTAATATATATTAAACATTTTCCCATCATAATTCTTCATGACTTTTTTAATGGCTGCACAGCATTTCATTATAACTGTTGTACCAAACTGTAACCACTTCCCTAAATGTTAGATTTTCCTAGTTTTTCTCTACTATAAAAAACACTGCAGTGAACTTCTTTGTATTGCAAATCTTATCTTTCCTTGGATGGGATCTGAGGCAGTAGTACATAATAGTTGAGAACACAGACTCTGGAACCAAACTACCTGGGTTCAAATCCTAGCTCTATCACTTTCTGGCTAGAGGAACATGTTACTTAAAATCTCTGCACCTCGGATTTCTCAGCTATAAAGGGAAGATAATAGTACCTACCTCAGATGTTCGGGGATTAAATGAGAAAGCATTTGCAGTACTCAGAAACAGTTGCTGGCATATGATCAGCATTTATATAAAAGTACTAAATACTGGCTGCTAATTTTATTGCTGCTGTTCTGAGAAATAACGTAACTGGTCACAGTGTTCTGGGTTTTTGTTTTTGAGTTGGTGACTGGCTGGTATGGAGATCCAAATCCTTGACCTTGGTGTTATAACACCATGCTGTACCTAACTGAGTTAACCAGCCAGCCCTGCTTTATTTTTAATGACAATATTAAGCTAATTTTTCTTTATTTTCTTTTTGATGGAAATCAGGAAATTGCTTCAGTATCTTATTGATTTATTTCTCTTTTTTTTTCCTAGATATATGAGAAGAGATGTTCTTCCATTAGGAAAATTTACAGTTAACTTGAGTGGTTGCCCACGGAATAGTACCTTCACAGAACACTTGTATCGAATTATTCAACACCTTGTTCCAGCAGTAAGATCAATATAAATACTATTATAAACTTAAGCACACTTAACAAATCCATCTGATTGTCCTTCATTTAACCCAAATCTTTAACTTTAAGAGTTTAATAGATCTCATTTAAGGGAAGAAAAAGCCTGCCAAGTTATGTAATTTAAAATGCTCTTTTTTTATTGCTGCCCCTTTCTTATTGCCTTCGCACACATTTCTACAAGTCTAACAATTAGCACAACTGTAGTAACTCCTTTGAAATTATATTCTGTTGATGACAATTTGTGCAATTTGGTATCCTTTGTGTGCATTAAAATCTTAAATCTAAATAAACTAAATTATCAGAGCATAATTCTTGTAGCTGAGGTAATAACGATCTTTATCCCTTTTGCCCCAACTTTAATTCCTATTTGGAAAGTCGAGCGACCTGTATTTGCCAGGGCATCTGAAATGCAGTATTTGTGAGGTGATAAGATCTTGGGAACAGGGGGATTGCTTTTGATTAGTCATGTGACTAAAAATACTGATCACCTCTTACTTTGGAAATTTAAGATGTTGAACTAGATCATTCATTGGACCAAATTTACTGAGTGTCTCTAAGTGCTAACACTCGTCCAGACCGTCCCGCAGCAGCAGGGGACCAGAGAAGAGCAGCGGTTCTTGCTCTCCTCAGACTCACGTTACACTCTGAAAAAAACGTTGAGGACTCAAAGAGCTGTGGGTTCTCATGTGTTAATTTACCACATTAGAAATTAAAGCAAAATATATTAAAATGTCAATACATTAGAAATAATAAACTGGGGGCCGGCCCGTGGCTCACTCGGCAGAGTGTGGTGCTGATAACACCAAGGCCGTGGGTTCGGATCCCATATAGGGATTGGGAGAGTGTGGTGCTGATAACACCAAAGCCACGGGTTCAGATCCCATATAGGGATGGCTGGTTAGCTTCCTGGGTGAGCGTGGTGCTGACAACACCAAGTCAAGGGTTAAGATCCCCTTACCGGTCATCTTTTAAAAAAAAAAAAAGAAAGAAATAATAAACTGTTACATATGAACATTTTTATAAAAACAACTTTTCTCAAAAGAGAAAAAATTAGTGATAAAAGTGAGTTTTCCATTTTTGTAAATCTCTGTAATGTCTAGATTAATACAAGACAACTGGATTCTCATATCTGAATTTATTCTGTCATATCTGAGTTCATTATAATATGTTTGACTGAAGTATATTAAGGAAAACTGGCCTCGCACAGATGGAAAAATAGTTGGCAAAGGAAGGAGTGTTTTAATAGCCTTTTCAGATAACTGTGGATATTCTTCTTCGATACTAGACCAAAACTGTCCACATGGCATTTTTTAAAATTTATTATTTTTCATTATTATTAGCATATTCATTATTACAAATCATGATTTTTCTTTATGCCCTTTACCCAACCTATCCCTCCCCCAACCCCCTTCCTCCCTCCCCCCCATCTCTAGTAACCCTAGGTTTGTTCTCTCCTTCTGAAAGTTCACAGAATTGTTGTGGTCTGCCTGCCTGCCTGCCTGCCTGCCTGCCTTCCTTCCTTCCTTCCTTCCTTCCTACCTACCTACCTACCTAGTGAGAATGTGCAATATTTCTCTTTTCTAGTTTGGCTTATTTCACTTAACACAATTTTCTCCAGACTCATCCCATATGGCATTTTCTCAAAGGATAGTTGCAGTGTGGAATCTGAAATCCTATCAATGAAAGTTTCATACTCTGCTGTAATAAAATTCATTGGTCTGCCTTCCACATTGAAAGGTTCTTTTATCCATGCATGATTTTGACCTCATGGACCTCACAAAGGGGTATCCACACAAACGGGGGTTCCCTGGGGGTTCCCTGGACCATATTTTGAGAATTACTGAACTAGATTCTCTGCACTCATGGAGTTTAAATTTTTGTTGTGGAAGACCAACAAATAAACTCATACTTAGTATGTAATTTAAGGGCCCTGAAGAACAGTAAAACCCAGGGAGAATGGGATAGGTAGAGCTGGCAGAGGACCAGGATAGAGTTGCCACCCTGGGGTTAGGGAAGGCCTTGCTGTCAGGCTGTTGTCGACGAGAGACTTTATGGGAGTGAAGGAGCACGCCAGATGGCTGCTGGCAAGTGTCCGTCCTATGCAGAGAACAAGCGCAAAGGCACTGAGGCAGCCATGTGCTTGGCACACTTGAGGAATGCTGGCAGAGGACTGGTGTGGCTGGCGTGAACTGAGCACTGGTGAGATGGTAGAGATCAGAGAGGAAGCCTAGAGCCACTCAGAGCTGTGGGGCCAGGATTGAGGCAACACATACTCAGGACACAGATTCTGTTTTCCAGTGTGGAAGGATTATCTGAGGAAGAGAGACGTTATAGCATATAAGGCATTCCCTTTACATTCTGCATCACTTTGCAGTGGGTTTGTTTACATTTTCATTTTTACCGTATCCCATCCCCCTATATTACTCCTGTGTTTATGTCTTGCTAGCACTGTGAACTTTTTCTAAACACTGGCCTCTCTAATATTTCATTTAATTCTTACAACAGTTTAAGTGCGAGTGACCTGCCTGTGCTTATGTGGCAGAGCTGAGGCTAGACCCTGCTCATGGCCGCCTTTGGTTTTGACAGGCCCTGCTTTTGGGGGGGGCTGTTCATTTGTTTCTGTAATGTATCCCCACCCCCTTCCTGTTTCCTTAGAATCACTGAGCCAAAATACAAAAGTCTTCTAAATTTTGGCAATATATCTTACCTCTTCCTCGACAGCCTTCCCCCTATTCCTACCACTCCTACCACTCACACTTCTTTTTAGACTAGAGTGGTAGGAAAGTGGATTGGAATATAAAGCAGAGTGAAGAGGGTGTTGGCAGTGGTGGTCTCAGGGAGCTGGAAGAGGAGATGGCAATGGGTTGAGCAGATCCTCACTCTGTCTGGCCAAGAAGGCGGCATGCGGCCTGGTTGGCGTAAGTCACAAGATCTGCAGCACCTCGCCACAGCTCATCGTCCTCTGCTCCTTGATTTTTCTCTGAACAGCTTGTTCAAAAAAGTCTATATTGGTCTATGATCAATGAATATGATTTAATTCAAAGAGCATCGAGGAAATTTAAGCTTTTCTCTCCCTGTCATGATGAATAAAATAAACATTTTGTTTTCTGTTTTGCTAGCTTGTGTTAGGTGAAAGAAGTTGAGCTTCTGGATATTTGATATGTGTATGTCAGTTGTCTACCATTTGTTTCATTGGTGAAATACAAATTATTCTTCAAGAATATTGAACAAGACATTTGAGAATAAAGCAGCTCATAGAATGAGTGAAGTTCTAATGTAGGATATAGATATTATTTTTGCTTCTAGGAATTCAAGAAACCATGTCGATACCCCCTTAGAAATTTATGTGGTCATTCTTTCCATATAAAATATAATGCTTAACTCCAAATATATATTTTCTTAAAACAGGGAAACTTAGGTCCTTGCTCATTAAAAAAATTTTTCTTGTAGTCTTTTCGTCTACAGATGACTATAGAGAACATGAACCATTTGAAATTCATTCCCCACAAAGACTATACGGCCAATCGCTTGGCCAGTGGACTCCTCCAGCTGCCCAACAATACATCTCTCGTAATCGATGAGACTCTTCTGGAGCAAGGGCAGCTCGACACCCCAGGTGTGTACATAGACGTTTCCCTTCCATTTCTAACTTTCTTCCTGTTAAAGCCAGATCTAGTAGTGACTTTCTAAAAGAGTATCTGTGGACTAAGAAAAATTCATATAAGATAAGGGTTTGGCATATGAATTTGATTAAAGCGTATATTATAAACAAGTTAAATTGTGTTCACCGACTATGTTTTGTTATAGTATTCCTACCTAGTACAATAGAACAAATAGCTTTTTAAAGGCTGAAACTGGAAGAAGTTTTTGCCCATAGTCATCTATTACCTCAAAAGAGAAGCCTAGAAAAGATCTAATAAAACATTGCTTACCTCCCATTGCGAAGTTTGCAAACATTTTTCTGAGAATCTCTGAAAAAAATACTTAATAGATCCGATGGTTTGAACTAACCTCATTTATGGAATATGTTATAAAATTACAAGAAATCAGATTGCTTTATTCGTGCTCAAATGAAGAGAATTAAGATACATTGCTGGTGATAAGTTCAAGAGGTAAAGGTAGAAGAAAAACCAATGTGGACTGGACACATTTAAGGCAAAGGTGAGTATAGAATCCGTAAAATTCAATAATCTTATCTATGTATAAAAATAGTTTTTAGGGGCCGGCCCGGTGGCGCACTGGATAGTGCGCCACTTGGGAAGTGCAGCGGCGCTCCCGCCTGAGGGTTCGGATCCCACATACAGACCGGTTCCCGCTCACTGGCTGAGCGAGGCGCGGGAGCAACACCGAGGGTTGCGGTCCCGTTGCCGGTCCCGGTCCGGTGCCGGTCCGGTGCGGGGGCGACACTGAGGGTTGCAATCCGTTGCCAGACACGGAAAAAGACAAAAAAAAAAAAAAAAAATAGTTTTTAGTCTTACCGTATAATTCAGATCCTGTGAACACACCTCCTAGAAAATAATCATACTTATTGGGAACCTGTTTTGTGTCTGCATGTATACCAGATGCTTGGTATAAGATTTTGGGGAGTCTTGGCCCCGGAAAGTTCTAGCTTGACTGATACTGCCTGTGAAGCTTATTATCTAATGAACATTTAGCTTAGTGACATTTAGCTTAGTAAATTGGATAGTGCCTCATATCCTTTATTAAAGCAGTGAAAACATCATATAATCAATGTCAGCAAAACTAATTTGTTTAGGTGATTAAAATGAAATGACTGAAAATTATTTTTTTGCTTTTCTAGGTGTTCATAATGTGACTGCTCTGAGCAACCTAATAACTTGGCAGAAGGTGGATTATGACTTCAGTTACCACCAGATGGAATTCCCCTGCAATATTAATGTTTTTATTACTTCGGAGGGGAGGTCACTCCTCCCGGTACGATGAGTCATTTTTATTTTTTAACTTTTATGTATTTATTTATTTAAATTCTGGGGTTTTTTAAAATTATTTATTTTTGATTTTACACATTTATGGGGTGCAGAGTTGACTATCAGTATTTGTGTACAGTATGTGGTGATCAAATCAATACTCTTAGCATGTTTATCATTACAAATTGTAATTACTCTTTGTGTCCCTTACCCAATTACTCTCTAACCTCTCTCCCCTCCTGCTTTTCTCTCCTTCTGAAAGTTGAGTGTTTTATTGTGGTCTCTCTTTGTTTCTTTTCTTTCTTTTCTTTTTTCTTAGCTCCCACTTGTGAGTGAGGACATACGGTGTTTTTAAATGGAGGGAGGTGGTTGGAAAGCTATATTTTCATTGTTTCTTGGTGCTGCTTATTATTAAGAAGTTATATTTGTTTAAAGAATTGTGTCTGCTGATAATTAATATGGGAATTGATTATTTTGTTCCTGCCTTGGGATGAAAACTTACATCTACCAAGAACCAGATCTCAGCAAGCCACAAAACAAGCAAAGCTATTGGCAGTAGAAACTCCCACATCTAGGTGCAGAAAGCAGAAGCTGTCAGTAAATCGCCTAATTAATTTCCACACTTGTGTTCTTACTGCCTTTGTCCAGTTGTTTTTTGCTAATCATATGTGAAAAAGTATTTTAGATTTCCTTTTAAAATGTTCCTAATCTCTTGGTAATTATTTGTATGTTTTATGGTGAAATGGTGAGTCATCAGAGTGGCTGATAGAGCTTTTAATTGTGAGGATGAGGAGAGATACCCCCAGTGGTTTAAAGGTGGATAGTTTCTCTGTATAATAGTTTCAACTCCGACTGATGAGAAACAGCCTTGACTAAGGATGAAATGGCTCATTGGTAAGTTTTCTGTGGGAAAGTGTGATTAACATTTTATCCTTTTTTTTTTTTTTTTTGTCATTTTTCGTGACTGGTAACGGGATCGCAACCCTCGGTGTCACGCCCGTACCGTGATGGGCAACGGGATCACAACCCTCGGTGTCGCGCCTGCACCACGCTCAACCAGTGAGCGGACCGGTCTCTATATGGGATCCGAACCCTCAGCGGGAGCGCTGCTGCGCTCCCAAGCGCTGCACTCTACTGAGTGTGCCACCGGGCTGGCCCATGATTAACATTTTAATTAGCTGCTTTTGTAGAGGCAGGCTACCATTTTATATGTTTACTGATACCAGTGAGGAAACATTATAAGTAACCAAGAAAAAGTTAACTTTTGTAGTTATTGCTGAGGCAGTTATAGTGCACATAAAATAATCTTAAAAACTGACACCCCCCACCCCCCCAATAATAAATAGTATTTTCTAATTCCCTTAGGGGCCGATAGAGATGATACATCCTCCTGAGAATGTAGATTGATTTGGGGACCTAGAAAATACTGTGGACTATTTCTCTTTTCAGGCAGACTGCCAGATTCACTTACAACCCCAGCTAATTCCACCAAACATGGAGGAATACATGAACAGCCTTCTCTCAGCGGTGCTGCCTTCTGTGCTGAACAAATTCCGCATTTATCTGACCCTTTTGAGATTCCTGGATTATAGCATATCTGATGAAATAACCAAGGTACGTTTGGGTTAAAATAAAGGATTTCCCTGTGTTGAATTGCAGTGTTCAACCAATTTACATTTAGTGTAATTACTGATAAGGTAATTTTGCTGTGTCTTATATCTTTTTGTTCCTCTGTTTCTCCATTATTGTTGCCTTTTGTTTGAAATAGATATTTTCTACTGTACCTTGTTTTTTTTTTTTCCTTTTTTTGTCTTTTTTACTGACCGGTAACGGGATCGCAACCCTCGGTGTCGTGCCCATACCAGGGACCGGCAACGGGATCGCAACCCTCGGTGTTGCGCGTGCACCGTGCTCAGCCAGTGAGCGGGAACCAGTCTCCACATGGGATCTGAACCCTCAGCGGGAGCGCCACCACACTCCCAAGTGGCGCACTCTCCAGTGCACCACCGGGCTGGCCCTCTACTGTACCATTTTAATTAACCCTTGAAGTTTCTTTTATGGTGTTTTTTTGAGTTATTTTCTTAGTGATTGTCCTGAGGCTAAAATTAACATCTTGTCTATAGTAAGTCTATTTAGGATTAATGCCTGTTTAATTACAATATACAAAAGTTTTGCTCCTTTATAATTCCATTCCTTTTCCCCTTTTGTGCTGTTATTGTCATGGATATTACATCTTTATACGTGGTATACGCATCCACACATTTATAATTATTGCTTTATGCAGTTGCATTTCAAATCAGAGAAAAAAAGAGTTATAAACCAAAAAGACATTTATACTGTTTTTTATATTTACCTATGTAGTTACCTTTGCCAGTGCTCTTTATTTTAACAAGTAGGGTTGAGTTCCTCCTGTCTAGTGTCATTTCACTTCAGCCTGAAGAACTCCCTTTAGTATTTCCTGTTGGACAGGTCTGCTTGTGACAGATTCTTTGCTTATCTGGGAATGTCTTAATTTCTCCTTATGGCTAGTTTTGCAGAATGTAGAATTTTTGGTTGGTAGTCTTTTTCTCAGTACTTTGAATATGCCCTCCCACTGCCCTCTGGCCTCTGGTGTTTAATGAAGTCAGCTAGTTTCTGAAGATCCTTCATACACAGTGAGCCATTTTTCTCTTGCTGCTTTCAAGATTCTCTCTTTGATTTTTGATCTTTGTGATGGGTCTAGGTATGGATCTCTTTGAGTTTAATCCTTCATTGAGTTTGTTGAACTCCTTGGATGTGCAGATTAATGCACATTTTGGAGAAGTTTGCAACAAATTTGGGAAGCTTTTGGCCATTATTTCTTTAAATTTCTTTCTGTCCCTTTCTCTCCTCTCCCTCTGGCATTCCTGTTATGTGTGTTGGCACACTTGATGGTGTCCCACAGGTCTTTGAGGCTCTGTTCGTTTTTCCTCATTCTTTTCTCTTTTTGTTCCGCAGACTGGATAATCTGTCACCTATCTTCAAGTTTGCTGGTTCTTTCTTCTGCCTGCTCACATTTGCTGAGCCCTCTAGTGATTTTTGTTAGTAACTATATTTTTCAACTCCAGAATTTCTCTTTCTTTTTAAAAATTATTTCTACCTCATTGATACTGTCTATGTGATGAGACATTGTTCCCATATTTTCTTTTTGTTCATTATATGCAGTTTCCTTTAGTTCTTTGAATATATTTAAAATAGCCAATTTACAGTCTATGTCGAGTAAGTCTAATGTTTGCGTTTCCTCAAAGATAGTTTCTATTGACACCTTTCTTCCCAATGTGTGGACTATACCATCTCTTTTCTTTGCATGCATCCTAGTTTTTTTGGTGATAACTAGACATTTTAAATAATATAATGTGGCAACTCTGCTCTGAAATTCAGATTTTGGAAATTAAATGTCCCTAGACTTTGTTGTTGTTGCTGTTTGCTATTGTTGGTTGGTTGGTTAGTGACTTTTTTGAACTAATTCTGTATAAAACCTGTATTCTTTGTTGCATGTGGACACTGAAGTCTCTGCTCTGTTTTAGACAGAAATTTCTTTCAATGCCTGGAAGCATATCCAAGTGTAAGTTGAGAGGCTCTTTATACATTTTGGGACAAGCCTTTAACACTCTGCCATGCAGTTTACAACCCCACCTTAGCCTTCACTTCCTGTTTATGTGGAGCCTCAAGGTTATCCATAGGTGGGAGCTTAAGGTCTCTGAGCATGTGTGTGGCCTTCTAAATTCCTAGGAATATGTATGTGAGGTTTTCAAAACCGCCTATGGGCATCTTATTTCCTAGCTTTTCCATTCATGGGTTTTGGTTAGCCTGTAGTTTGTGACAGCTATTATCCAATATTTCAGACAGCCAAGATGATCAACTTCTTTTTTTTTTTTTGTCTTTTTGTCTATTTTCGTGACCGGCAACGGATCGCAACCCACAGTGTCGCGCCCGTACCGGACCGGGACCGGCAACGGGATCGCAACCCTCGGTGTTGCCCCCGCTCCTCGCCTCAGCCAGTGAGCAGCCGGTCCGTATGTGGGATCCGAACCCTCGGCGGGAGCGCCGCCACACTTCCCAAGCGGCGCACTGTAGCAGTGCGCCACCGGGCCGGCCCAGATGATCAACTTCTGATTGTTTCTGATAAATGACCTGGGGAAAGAGGCTGTTCACATGGGGTAGGCTTCAAGTCAGGTTAAATAAAGACAACCTTACAAATAGGTTCTTCCAGGGAACCACTGGACAGGTCACATCATGACAGTTCTCTGGGAATGGCGATTTGAAGGAGCTCCAGCCCTGTTCTGCCCTCTTCAGCGGTCACCAGGCTATTGGTTCTCAAGGTTATCACCTGGAGGCTGGGGGGTGGAGTGGAATAAGGCAAGGTTAAAATGCCACAAAGCTCAACATTCTTACCAAGAGCCACCCGTTTTTCTTGCATAAACACTCCTTGGATTGTTGTATCTATTTCCACAATTTGAAAAAGCTGATTTTGAGCAGCGTTCATGTTGCTGTAATGGTGGGAACAGTTTTCGAAGGTCTGTACTCTGCAGTATTCTCTGATGTCACTCTTCCCTTTGTTTAAAGGCATCATGTTTGCTATACAAGTTGCTGATTTCTGTTTGCTTATGCTTCTTAAATGAACCTGAGTTTTGTTATTTCGTTTAGGATATTCTCATAAATAGCATTATTATGTGCGTAAAGTTTTGGTTCTCAGTCTTTTCACCCACGTTGTCTCGTTTGTCTAAGAGGCAGGGCTAACATCCTCATTTTTATATCAGACAAGGGCCCGTGTTACTTTTCTTTTTCTTACAAAAATGCAAATGTTATTTTCTCAAGTTTTTTGTTTTATTTTGGTAACTGGGCAGTATGGGGATCTGAACCCTTAACCTTGGTGTTATCAGCACCACCCTCTAAGTGAGCTAACTAGCCAAGTCCTCTTAAGGAAATGTTTTAAAGTATATATTTACTCTTTTGATAAAGGCAGTTGAAGATGACTTTGTGGAAATGCGTAAGAACGACCCTCAGAGCATCACTGCTGATGATCTGCACCAGTTGCTTGTGGTAGCTCGGTGAGTAGTACATGTCCACCGTTGCTTTTTCAGTAAGCTATGCACAAGTCTCCTGATTTATTCAGCAGTAACTGAGGCAGACTTCTAAAAACGGAAATGAACTTTTCCTTTTAAAAACACCTTATGAAAGGGCTTTTTTTGAAGGGGACTCGCCTTTGGCTGATGATCTCTTCAGTGGAACAGGCATGCTGCTTGTTCTCTAAGCTTCAAAGTGAGCTGCCCTCCAATTCTGACTCTTCCAGGATTCCTTTGTAGAAGTCTAACTTGGCTCTTGACTTGTGTGTAGCCACCAGATGGTCTTGTCTCCTAACATGGACTGTGTTTTTATAAAGTATTCCTAGGTCTTAAAAAATATATAAAAGTTACTGTCCTAGCTCTAGACTAGAATTTGTTTTTGTATTTCAAACCAGGTTTCTGTCTCTCAGTGCTGGTCAGACGACGCTGTCAAGAGAACGATGGCTAAGAGCAAAGCAACTAGAGTCTTTGAGAAGAACCAGGCTGCAGGAGCAGAAGTGTGTGAATGGAAATGAACTTTAAAGATCTGATACCTATGAAGAGTAACAGGCAAATTGTAGCCACATTATTGTAAAATTTAAATATCATTTGTACCACACTGTTTTATAGAAAAATTTGTATCAAAAACCAATAACTTTTCCTGAAATCAGGCCTGGTAACACCTGAAGTTTATATGATATTCAGTAAGGGCTTTTACCTTACTGATTTTATGGAGCTTTTGAAGTTTGTTTTATAATTATATAAATTAGTAACAATGTACAAAAATGTATTTGATATTAAAAGTTTAATATTGATAATGTTGCTGATTATACCATTTCCTTAGCTTCAGCTAAGTTAAAGGCCGGACTCTGTTGAAATGCTAATATTAACTTCATTTGAGGAAAACTGTTGCAGTTTCAAAGTCAGAGGAATCGTGCACTTCAGATTTCTGTCTTTCCGATTAACAATGGGTCTGAGTGCATTCAGTAGTCCAAGTTTGGGGAATGGGGTGTACTTAGCATTGAGTCACATGATCTTGTGAAATTCTGTAGTATCATTTCCCAAACATTTGGCCACAGAAACTTTCTTCCACTTAACAGTTAGCCTGCAAAACTAGCCTTTTACATGGCAGTGGTTCCCTGACTTTTGGATTTCATGGACCAGTAATATTTCCCAAAATTTTGGGGATAGGATTGCCAATTTATTTTGCTAAGTAATCTGAAAGAAATCAGTGTGTATTATCACCATGTTTTTTACATAACAGGACAATCTCAGAACTAAGAGATGGTCCTTTAAATGGAATAAATGTAGCTTTTGGGGGAAAAAAAAATCACATCGTCCTTACTTTTCTCATTACATCCCAGTGCATTTGGGAACCACTGTTTTATGGGACATACTTAAGGGAATGTTGCCCTATGAAGTTTTGCCCAAATATGAAAAGAGCAAAATAGAAAACTTCTTTTAAAAACACCCTCTTTAGAAAAAAAGTCATTTACTTGCTTTAATGATCGTATTGGACTTTTTAGCTTTTTGTATGAGTTTATCAATTTATCAGTTTGTTCCAAATGTGGTAGATCAACTAACATCTGCTACTCCAGTAAACTGCAGGTAAGTTTTCCCCAGACCAGTTACAGTTTTAATATACAAATTTTTGAAGTAACAAAATATCATTATCCATAGCTAGAAAACAACAAAAATCTTCAGAAGGGTTAGAACATTACTTTTTAAGGCTACGAATGGTATATATAAAATTTTCTTTTAGTCAGATTAATTTCTTACATAGTTGGAAACATTAATTCCTTAAGTTTTTTCCTGTAAGGCCTAAATTGACAGTTAACCGAGGAAACAGGGTCAGCCTTAAAAACCAAGGAATTGGTTATTCCTAATGAAGTAAAAATTACTAGTTCAACATTAACTTTTCCTAAAATGAAATCTATTTTTATAAAATAGTGTAAATAATGTTAATATTCAAATTCTAACTGGTTTTCATTTTTTATAACTGGTAGACTAGACCTTCCTTAAAACTTTTAGAAATAAAATGAAGACTCAGCTGAGTTGATGATGAGGATAAAATATTTTCTTCAGTTGTCCTAGAACAAAGTAGATGAGTTATGTGTTTATTGTGCCAATATAAATTGTAATTTGCCAAAGAGAAATACGTAATTTGCTTCGTCTTACAGAAAAGTTACCTTGAAAGAACCCTCTTTCCAATAAAACTTCCCAAATTACCGGTACTTTGGGTTGTTTTTCATGAATTCTAAGATTCAGCAGCCCATGTGATACTCTATGTGGGAAAAGACCCTGTGTCCTCTTTGTGGGAAAACATCACACAGTAAACATAAGTACGGGAGGTGTAGGATGGTGTCGTCCTACTCGAGTCCCACCCAGGCAGGAGATTGGAACTCTCAGCTTCAGAAGCCCTTTTCCCTTTTGCCCATACATGTGGACATTTGAGTTGGCTGCTCTGATTCAAGGCAAGATGTTAATACTATTTGAATAACCAAGAAACTGAATAGATATCTGTATAATCCCATTTGGAACCAAGCATTGCTTTCTTAAGATAATTTTAGTTTTCAAAAATCTCTTTGGAACTAATTTCTGTGGAGCTTAAATACACATATTTTAATCACCTGACCTTGGCTTGTATTTTCTCTCATGTTGTGGAACACTTAATATATTCAAGACCCAGAGGAAAAATTGTTGAGAGCAGATTAAACACTGTTTTGAATGTTTGGGTTTTAAAATGTGGCTTTTGATCCATTTTGTCATTTTTAAAATCATGAGAACATCTCAGAGTAAAATATTTAGAAATGCTCAGACCAAGTATTATAACAAATTTATCCTATTAATTCCTTAACTGATTTAAAATCAAACCCTTATCTTTAAAATGTTATACAAGGAATTCTCATACACAGTCACTTTAAATTACAATGGTACTTTATTTTAAGTCACAAGATTTGACACTTCAAAAAAAAAGACACCACTAATAAATAACAAAAGTGGAATGCTTATCAAAGTTACAACAGACATAATGTTCAGCTGAGAATCACACTTCAACAAAGTAAGGCCCTAAAGATACCAGACAAACTGATACTTATTGGAATACACCGTGCAACTTTCTTACTGTGTGGGTTACAGGAGGCCCTGGTTCTACTTGGTCAGGGGTATAGTCATAGAACCTGTTTTAGCACAATTGGACTTCAGACTAATTTTTTTGTGATAGTCTACACAAGATGTTGAGGAATGCCCCCCACCAGAAAAAACAAACTTGAAGACTTCCTTCTGGAATTTCCAGTATCCAATGTGCATATATTCTTACATTCCTAAAAACAGAGCAAAATGCAATTTAATGGGTGCTGGTATTCACATCCAATGTATCGGGTTTACTTTAAGACTGACAAGTCTAATACTCCTAGACTTTGGATAGTATAAGACGGCAGAATATTTTAAATTTGTCCAAGTAGAATAGGGAGAAAATTAGGATCAAATGAAAATACATTTCTTGACTGCATTGTCAATAGCACTCAATAAACTTCACAGGGAATGGTTAAAGCAATCAAAACAAATAATTTTGAAAACTAATGCATAATTTAGCTTGTAGAGATAATACACAGGAATGAATTGACAAACAGAATTATGAAAAACACCAACCCCTTAAATGTGTCCGTATCCATACTTTATATGTCTACTTCATATACTCCACCCACCCCACTCAAATTCACATCCCAAAGTGGCCTGTTCCTAAACCACTTTCAAATGAACAAACTGCCTTGTAGTGTATAAGCTACTCAAGTCTACACTCCATGATGATGCAATTCTGTAGTCCTGGCTCTCAAATTTGGAAGTCTGCTCAGGTTCAGATTCCTTTCAAAACCCTTCCCAATAATTAGAACTTCTGATCCCTAAATTCAGACGGTACAAGTTAAAATATGTGAAAACTCCTTTTTGAATTTTTAAATAAAAGCCGTGGAAGGATTCTTTGTGGCTAAAAACTAAATCTGAATTATTCGTGTCTGGCATTGTGTAAACATATTTTTAAGTTCATTTTGCTGGACTTCATTGACCACTTCAGGTTCTGCAGGGCTCTTCTGAACTTTTGCCACTGCAAAGTTTATCCCCTGGGTTAACCCAGCTTGGGTAATACTAGCAACTTGGACCATGGAACTTCGAATCTTTGCAAAGGGAGAGACTGCTCTGCTGCTACCGCTTTCTGTAGGAGAAATTACACGAAGCCCTGTCTCAAGTTCAATCATGCTGGAACCAGAGCTGGGGGTCTTTTGCGATAAGACTGAATGCACAGGTTCAACTGACAAAAACTGTGGGCCTGTAGCAGAAAAAGACACATCTAATTGAGATGGTCGAGAAAGTGTTTGTTCCGTTGATTCTGACTGGGTTCCTTCATTAGAAATTTGATTGGTCATTTGATTTCCTTCCTCACTAGCCTGCTGAGACACAGATCTGGTGTCCGATAGCTGGGTCATTTTGTTTTGTGCATCTTGCACAAATCTGTGGCAGTAAATATCCACAGGCTTGGCAAAGTCGGTCAGTATGTGTATGTTGTCAGCAGAAGGACTTTTCTTCAAAGGAGACTCCTGGCCTTTTCCAAGCCCACTTTCATGAGTGACCATAACCTCAGAAGGAGCATGAATGCTAATGTCAGTGCTGCTAACAGACTGGGATCGACTGCCTAATCGAGGTGCTGAAGCAATAATACCACAACTAGGAAGAACATAATCTACTGGCCCTACACTCTCTAAAGAATCAGCTAGCTGCCTGTCTTCATCAGACTTGGAATTTGTAAGGAATTCATCAGAGTGATATGAGTCATTATCTGAAGACATGTCACCATCAGACTCTGCCTGGACCTTATTATTCATCACTCCTGTGTTTTCCATGGTTTCAAGACTACTATCTGATTTCCAAAGATTTACTTTTAAGTTTGGTTTTAGAAAGTTAACTTTCATTTCAGGTTTTGTAAAGTTTCCTAACTTTCGTAGGTTGCCGATGTTTACATTGGATTTGGTCTGCTTCACTTTTTGATTTAGAGATGAAAATTTGCTCATTAAAAAATTCTTTCCCTGGGCCAAAGAGCCTTGGTTTTGAGATCTGATACCAATGATGTCTTCATGAGGTTTACTGCTCTTCCTACAAATTAGAAGAGAAAAAAGTTAATTCCCTTTGGTATCCAATATACCAGTTCCAACTATTTATAAAAGTGAAAATACTTTACTTATTTAAATTGGTCCCAATATCTTAAAAAACAGTGCATTGCTAATTGATAAACTCAGATAACCCCTCCAAGTTGACACTAAACAATAATGGCCAATAAAAAAATGTGAGCTACATATGTTAAAATTGGACGTTAAGAAGGAACAGGTGAAACTAATTTTAATAACATTTAACACAATATAAACAATATTATCATTTCAATATATAGTCAATATTAAAAGATTAATACCTTATCTTTTTTTAGTACTGTCTTTGAAATAGCCAATATGTAGTATTCTGTAATTACAGCACACCTGAATTCAGACTAGTCACATTTCACAGGCATCAAGGCCATATGTGGTGAGTGGCTACCACGCTGGGCAGCACGGGTCTAGCACAGCCACATTCTAAACACCTGGCAAAGGCGGTTGATAGAAATGGGAGTCCAGCATTATAACTAAAGTTGTCTACACATTCCAGTTTGGCTGAAGGAGTGTTAAGACCTCCACTTCCTTATATTTCCTGTGGGTTATCTGAATGTATTTTAAAAGATTTGGGACATTTAACATAACTAATCTTGGTGTGTTCTCTCCTTTGGCATTCCTCATAACAGCTATAAGTAAAAAAAAAAGTCTGGGTGCTATTTGCCACAAATATCTCAGTATGTACATTTGTAGTCTTGCCGGTCATGCAAAATAACTGATCATGAAAATATTCCAGAAAAGTTATGAGGTTAAAGAGCTACTGAAACAATTCTCTCCACTAACTAAAGACTGAACAATTTTCTTCTAGATGACCAAATAGCTGTCTCTTCCCTTGTGGAATGTGGGCCACAAAGCCTGATCAATGCTCATTAGGAGGAAAAATCCACATATTTTAAATATAAAGTAATCTGTTGATAGGTATTGTTTTCCCAAATTAAAACACCTATTGTTTAAAACATATTATTTTCTCCACAAAGTACTTATATTTAAATGCTCCCTCCCTCATCAGTTTTTTAAGAGTTAAAAATGCCCCATGCCAGCCAGCTGCCAAAAGAAAAAAAGTTAAAAATGTATCACTTGTTGCCACAGAAGTTATTTATATATATCAAGGATGGCAAAATACACTCTCAGAGGGGTTCTCTGAGCCATATTTCATCATGATTCTTTGCAAACTACCACCTATATATTCGTGGAGAGGATCAGTGGTACTCTATAACTTTTAAACAAACCTGGATAAACATCCTAATTATATTTTAAATGCCATATCACTCAAAAAAAGAAAACGTGGACCTTTAGAATTTTTCGTGAAACTGAGCATAAACAATCTCTAAGGAGGCGTATAATGAGTCTGGCAAACAATTTGGTATGTTAAGAGCAAGGAAAATAGTCACACCTTTTAATTTGGATTCCTAATTTGGAGATGCTCTTCTAAAGAAATATCCTCAATTTTTTTTTTTTTTTTTGTCTTTTGTCTTTTTCTGTGTCCGGCAACGGGATTGCAACCCTCAGTGTTGCTCCCGCGCCTCGCTCAGCCAGTGAGCGGGAACCGGTCCGTATGTGGGATCCGAACCCTCGGGCGGGAGCGCCACCGCGCTTCCCAAGCGGCGCACTATCCAGTGCGCCACCGGGCCGGCCCTAAAGAAATATCCTAAACATGAAAAAATAATACATGACGAAGATGTTTGTCATGATTTTTTAATGAAAGGAAAAAAAGCCTACAATCAAAATTTTAAGTAATTGGGTTTAATAGCTGAGTGCCAGGTGATAGTCTAAGTGCATTATTCAATCCATGCACCTACTCTCTGATGTAGATTTTATTATCTCATCTTACATATGATAAAATTAAGTGTCTTTCCCAAGGTTGAAGGGTAAGTGATAGAACCAGGAGTCAAAAAAGTTTGGCTGACCAGAGTCCATGTTCTGAACCTACCTAATACATTTGCACACATATCACAGTAGGCAACTATTAAAAATGATTGTTATGAGTTCTATAGTAACGTGGAAAATGCATACAATATAATGTTTACCAATAACAGGTTATAATGTACATAGGTTAAAAATGTGTATAAGAAAAAGATCTGAGAGGAATACATCAAAATGATAACCCTGGAAGAGCATATTAAATGAGTGTTAGCCATTAATTCAGCATCTGCAGCAAACTAAGTACAGTCAAAGTTACCCATGAAAACCCCTTAATACTGTAATGTATACATGGTATTTATACTATACAATACTAGGTCTGGCATAGTCAATTTTTATTCCAAAATTGGAACATAATTTTCTTGAAGGATTAGATGCAACAGTTTATATTTAGAGGCCTTGTTATTTATTTATTTATTTATTTTTTAATTGTGGGTGAGGGGGAAACAAATGCATGTATTTTAATGTATAATTTGATTACATGATAGTGCCTGTGTTACAATGATTTTGATCCACAGAAAT